GGGCGAGCTGAGCTGCCCAGTTCTCAGCGGTGCCTCTCCCAGTGCCATCTGCTGGTCACTGCCTGGCCGGGCTGGATGGAGCGGGACCTCAGAGCACCCCGCAGGCAGCTGGGCTCCTGCAGGAGGGCTGGAGCTGATGGGCAGCAGAGCCACTGTGACCTGCAACAGCATCACTTGAATCTCTGGAGCTCAGATTGTACCAACACATGAGGGGATTTGTTCTCCTTGGCCACACACACACAAGTTACACATCAAGCATGATCTGTATTTAAATTCATATACACCAAAATTATGCACACAATGAAGCCACACAGGGAAAAATTACACCAAGGAGCTGGTGGCTGCTCTCAGCTCTGAAGGTTTCTCTTCTGTGCACGCACACAGGTGCAGGCACACGTGTAAAATAAATGCATGGCATTGGAGTAACTGAGGAATGGGACATGTGGCAAAGAGCAGGAGAGAGGGAGGAGGCAAGGACTGCAGAGTGTGAGGGGAAGAGGGGAGAAGAGCTGGGCAGTACTGGCCAGAGCTACACCAGAACCAGGAGGAAACACAAATCCTCCAAAATCCTTGGACGAGAAGGGAAAGAGATGACATGTGTCCAAAACTGAAAGAAACACACTGGGAGGGAAAAGAGMATTTCTGCCGGAAACAAGCCCCAAAGCCAYCCACCRTGYCTCATCTACAAACCCCAAAGCCATCCACTGTGTCCCACTGCCCCTTGGTGTCCCAGTCACCCTGCTGTCCCCAGGTTCACGGTGCAGCAGGGCCTGCCRKCCACAYGGCTTTGTGGGTGATCAACACTTCCAGCCTGGAAATGGAACAGAAGCCAGGAAGAAAGGAGAAGCGTCCAAGGTCACCAGCATTATGGCAAACACCCTCCTGCCCTCGGGTCTCCTNGCCTCCCCAGGGCAAAGCAGAGGGAAAGGATCACCTCCCTGACCTGCTGGCCACACTCTTCCTGATGCCCCCCATGGTCCTGCTGTCTCTTCTGGCCYCAGGGCACACTGCTGGCTCATGGTCAACTCACAGACCCCCTCTGCAGAGCTGCTCTCCAGTAGGTCACCCCAGCCTGTGCTGGTACCTGGGGTTATCCCYCTCCAGGTGCAGGACCTGCACTTCMCCCTGTTGATYCTCATCAGGTTTCTCTCCATCCACCTCTGCAGCCTGTTCAGGTCCCTCTGAGTGGCAGCTCAGCCTTCAGGTGGATCAGCCACTCCCCCAGCTCCGGATCATCATCAAATCTGCTCAGGGTCCATTCTACCCCTTCACCCAGG